TTCTCTCTCTCTCTCTCTCTCTCTCTCTCTCTCTCTCTCTCTCTCTCTCTCTCTCTCTCTTTTTTTAAGACGAACACTTCTTTTTTTCACAGAACATTTACGCTAGAGGTAGCACGATTCTTGCGAAATTAAAAACTTTACGGGCACGTTCATTTCGGCCTTTTAAGCGGCACAGGAAAAAACCCGTGAAACACGGACATATTCGAATAACGTTTTCATCTCGCACGCGATTCTGCGAATTCTCCGTCATAAAATCCCGACACGATCTTCGAAGTACGTCCAGAAACATTTTATTATTTCCTATTCTCGCGTATTATACCGTTGTATAATTTTCACGGGCGAAAAAGGAAAAAGAAGAACAGATGGAGGGAGAGAGAGAGAGGAGAGAGAGAGGGAAGAAAAGAGTAGGAGGACGAAGTTCGTTGCACGCGGCTATGCACCCGACACAGCAGTAATTTGTAGTTTTTACGAGAAATTCTATATTTGCTCGAGCTTTTCATTAACCCGCTCGCGTTAACCAAGCTGCGACACGGTAATAAGGGGTGCACGAGCAAAAGGGGTTCAGCAGCTAACTGAGCGCAGCTATGAGTCGTACAATAAAGAAGAGGTTACGGTTAGAAAAAATGAGAGAAAGAAGGACAAAGTTGGAGAACTTTCTGCTATTAATTAATTATTTCTGCAACAAATACCGGTAAAAACAAATCTTACATCGGATGGAACGAGAAAAAAGAAAGACAGAATCGGCAGATATATGTAGATATATTTATTTAGAGGCAGTTTATTTTCTCAGAAAAAAATCTGAAATCCCGAATAAGACATTTCTAATTTAATTTTTAAAAAAGACTTATAAATATGCAAGAGTTTTTTTTGATCTGATGAAAAAAATATCTAAATATTTAAATTTTCAAATCAAAAAACTTAGATCATTTATTAAAGTAATTTAAATAATAAAATCATTGAAAGATATAAAAAGGATATTTAAAGCATTATTAAATTATAATTTTATATTTAAGATTATAAAAATTATTTAATTCTTCGTGATAAAGTAATAAATCTAAATTTTTTCAAAGATAAAAATGTTAAAGTTATTTATATATCATAAAATATAAACAATACAAGTTAATTAAACTTATTCTAATTCTTTTAAATACTCTATTTCGTAAAATATCTCTCTTAAAATATTTTCATCACTTCAAAATTTCATTCAATCAAAATTCCAAACGAAAATAAGATTAACTGAAAAATGTTTATGTTAATATTGTAAAATTATAATCACCGATTATGGTATATATAGAATAGAGAAATTGACAGCTGCACGATTCACAGAACGATGGATGTTGTCATTGCAGGATACAGGAACAAAAGTGTAGACAGGATATCTCGAGAACTTAAGTAATACGCGACTGAGAATCTTCCGACACCTATTGGTATCTTGTCTGTTACAGGCACGAGTGGCGCTCGTTTCTCAAATTACAAAACTTCGCTAGCCAAGGGCCGTGCCTAAAACAATATTGGTGGGGGCAACGAGAACCCGTGCGACCCCTACATTAGATATTTATTTAAGACCGTCCGACACGGCTGCTTTGCTCTTGTTCACCGTGAAATTCTTGCTTCGTATATGTGCGAATACATATATATGATGTACAGCTCACTGACGAAGGTACCAAGTAGTTGGGACTAAGTACTCCAAACCCAAAATGTTGACCTAGTTAATAGCTTCGTGTTTGATTTGACTACTGTTGTCCGGATAAGCGGTTCCGTAATGCGAACCCTGTGCTTTTATTATTATCGGTCGTGAAATTTAATACTATTGAAATTATCTTCTATTAGGAATAACTGACACTCCTTTCTGTATTTCCTTTTATTATTTTTATTTCTTAGTTAATGGACAAATTATAATTATTGATTATTGATTATAATTATTAACAAATTGTAATTATAATTATTGATAGTTATATTTGTAAAAATGTAATAATATATTTTGTCTTTTTTATTTATTTTTTTGTAATATAGAATAGAACGATTTGTATTTATTATATTTAAATATATGTATGTGAATTTGTCTTAATAATTTTTTATAACTGCATATAAATGATATGGCATTAATTATATATATTATATATAGTATTTCTACGTAAAAATCATATTGTATTTATAATGTATATTTAATATAAATTTATGAAACAATAAATTAATGAAATAGAATCAGATTTATAGAAAATTATACTAATACTTTTCTAACTATATAATATTTTTCCAAGCGTGTAGAATGTAAATTCGTGAATCTTAATTAAGATTCTATAGAACAACACGGACAAAGTTTATTGAAGAAAGTTTGTAACTCATTGTTTTCTCATTCTATAAAATATTTGATGCAAATTTATGTTACCCGCATTAGCGTTTATAATGAGAAAAGAGAGAATAAAAAAGAAAAATAAATAAACATTTCTTTACAAGTTATAAAAATAAAATCTACCAAAAATCAATCCTCGTCTTTTTTTCAGAAAAATAAATAAAAATGTAAATATTCTTAATATCTTTAATTTTTGTTCAATACGTTTAAACTGGCTTTATCAAAGAAGAATTTATTATAATTTTGTAGAAATTATTATATGTTATTTATAATCATATTGCAAAAAAATTATATCAAAATTATATCATTGAAGTTGTGAACATCGTGATTAAAATATATCAAAAATCATTTTTATTTATTACATCTGAATTACATAATGGATTGACTTCAATTTAAATTGAAATTGTTATGTTTTTACAATAATCCTATTTATTATAAACAATACAAAACGCGCATAAAGATTTTGATATGAATAATTTAAATTAATTTATTTAATATTTTTTCAGTTATCAATAAATATTTTAAGGATATATATGTATATATAAACGAAATAAAATTTTTACTACGAATATTTTACTAACCGAACATACGCTGTAACTAGTTTCATGGTATGAATTGTTAAAAATTGAACAAAACTGAAATCCCCGGGGGGCAGGAAAACTAGAATTCAAAACTCAGAAGCCAACGAAAGCCATTGATCCTAATGCACAAGGAAACGATCACTCGCTCTGACGATCAATGAAGAGAGAGAAAAAAAGGACTTTTTGCAAGCCGACTTACACGTCTCAGTGACGATGTAACGACTTCACAATTCGAGCTGAGGCCTGTTAATCCTCCACCCAATCGATCGAACCGGAATTCATGCTGTTTACCGAAACACCCACAAACTTTCTTTTTCAATGCTGCATTTTCAGCTGTGCTTCTTTTTAAGTGAAATACACTGTATCATAATTCGACTTATAAATTTTTCTAGACGAAAATTTTATACTCTTAATATTAACTTTTTAAAGCAAAAATTTATTTTTTGAAATATCGTATCGTTTTAATGAAGTTTTTTGAAATTATTATATTATCGATTTATGATAAATTTAATTATATTATTAAAAAAAATAAATAAAATAAGTTATATTTGATTTTAATATATATTTTTATATCAATAAAATTATGTGGTATTTTATGTAATTTTATAAACATCATATTATCTTCAAATACCATCTGTGTAAACAATTAAGCGGTCCATAGAGCAGTAAACGTTCAGTGTACAAACATTCAACGTTCTTTTATATAATATGAAAGAATCTCTTACGGTGCTTGACATTGAAAAGAGCAAAATCGGGGAACTTTGCTACTTGTCCCTATTTGAAATCAGAAAAATTTAGCATCCGAGGAAGCATAATAATTTGTTAACGAATATTTATGCATATTATCGAAAAAAAAAATGAAAAACTTTAATTAATAACATACAAAAAAAACCATTACATATATTCTTTCGTATCGATCATTTTTCTAGATAATTTTAATATCTCATTATTTCTTAAACGATTGAAACGTTTTAATAGATTAAATTTATGGATATGGCAGAAGCATATTTCTGCGTTCTGTCTTCATTCGGTTTTCTTTTTCTGCACCCCCGAATAGCACGATTGCTATTCAGATATTCGAACCGCGGGGCTTTAATAAAAATATTTGCTAAGAAAACAGTTCGCCCGAAGTACCCGGGAAGCAAGGCGAGTTATTCTTATATCCAGATTCACAGCGTATCCTTCGCTCACGATTTCCATAAATGCAGTAATTCGAAGTAAGACGGCCGTCGGCATTTCTAACTTTTAATGATTCATATCTTTGTATATTTATAATCAGCATAAAATAAATTCATCGACAAACGAATATTTTATTTAATAAATATTTAATCAATTATATATTAAAATGATAAATTATATATTGTAATAGTATATTATTTTATTTTGTGATATTTGATTTATTTACATTTATATAATAACTTTATTATATTACAATAAATCAATTTTTAAATAAATATTTTTATAAAATATACATGATAAAGATATATTAATTATGAACAAAAAATAATACATTTGTACTTATATATATATACTTTTCATATTTGTAACAATACACTCTTCCTGTTTACAAATACTCATTTTCTTAAGCCTTTTCCTCAATCTGAATCTATGATGATGATTCATACTGTAACCAATATTTTCCAATTGATATTTATCTGTAGTTATATTATATGCTTCAATATAATGCTATAAAAAAATAATAATAAATCAAAGATAATTTTAATAATTTATAATACTTTGTAACTTATTATTATATAATAATACCTTATTATCTTCAAAAATACAAAAAATATTATTAAAATTCGGAGATATGCGTCGTATACAACTGAAGGTATTGTTTGCAGCATCTTGACATTTGCATGCCATATCTTTTTCACATAACTATAAAAATAATAATAAATTTAAGAAAAATAAAATTTATATTAAATATTTCTCATAATTGTTTCTATATATATAATATAATATAGATAGTAGATAGGATAGAATATATATAATACATACTGTAAGGTTTAGATCATAATCACTTGGACAACCTGATGATGGAATATTTCTAGATTTTTCTCCTCTATATTCTATTAAAAGAGTTCTATCTTTTGGCAATACTTTTTTTAAAAAAGAAGTTCCATCTGATGGACGTTTTATACCAGCTATTCCTAAAATTGTATCAAATAAATCAACACTGCTAACAGGTGCAGCAATTTTTGATGGCATAACTCCTGGACCTCGTATTAATAATGGAACTCTAATATCTGTTTCATATGGTTGACGTTTATCTATTGGCATACTAAATTGACCTAAATAAAATAATATCTAGTCGATATATTATTTTTAATTCTTAAATTTAAATATACACTATATTACCAATATGATATCCATTATCAGAAGTAAATATAATATAAGTATTATTTAAAAGATTTTGTAATTTTAAAACTTGATATACATTTTTTACAAGTTCGTCGACAGCTAACAATGTTTCCCATCTATTTCTATAGATTTCATCTAATTTAGGTAATAAATTGTCAGGAAGTGGAGATGGTCCTCTTTCTACTAACCAATGTTTATCCTTAAATAATATAATTTAATAAAATTATATAATAACATGAAAGTTTCAAATATATCAAATATTATTTATATTACCATCTGAGTTTGTGTATTAAAATTGGGTGTCCTTTTAGCTTTCACATTTTTATATTTGTTGATATGTCTTTGTGCTGGTGTAAAAGGTGCATGAGGTGCAGGAGGTGCTAAAACCATAAGAAATGGTTGACCATTTGGATTATATATCTTAATAAAATTTGTTGCCATATCACTCTGAAAGAATATTATTTTAATATATTATAGAAAAATTATATACATTAATTTATACACTTACAATTACATCAGTAAGATAATCAGATGAGTCATTACCAAATTTTTTTTCAGTTCCATTTATAGATAAAATGTAATTATAATATTTTGAATTTCCAATCAGACCAGCCCACCAATCCCATCCTGTTGGTATATGACCAGCTCCGCCTACTATTTTATCTCCATACTTTATGAATTTATTATTAAATTTTTTTTTCTTTATTTTATATAAAATTGATTTATATAATTTATTTCTAAAGTAACTTATATACCTGATTTAAATACTTTCCAGCATAAAATGTTGTGTAAAACATTTCTTTTTTCAAATATGCTGCAAATGTATTTGGTTCTTGTAATTCTTGCCATTCAATATTATTACATCCACCATTAATTGAATTATTTACTACTAAATGATTATGTTGATATTTTCCAGTTAAAATTGATGCTCTATTTGGGCAACAAATAGGTGATGCAACAAACTAATTATTAGAAAAAATATTTTTAATTATATAAATATTATAATTAATAATTATAATTAATAATTATTTATTATAAAATTATATTTTTATAAATATTAAAAAAAAAAGAAAAAGCTTACACAATTTGAAAATGTTACACCTTTATTTCCAATTAAATCCAATGTATTTTGCATTGGAGTCTAAAAATAATAATTAATTATGTTTATGTTTATTCATATATTTTTTTATATATTTACCATTCCATCAAGAAATAGATCTAAATCATCAGCAATAATTAATACTATGTTTTTTGCACAATTTGATATCAATATGTGACACATAAAAAAACAATAAATAAAATAATCATTTTTTCGAGTTTTTTTAAACTCTTTTTTCAAATTTTAAAACTATTTATAAAAATTCTCGTGAAAATAGATACAAAAATAAGGGTATTCCCCTAACTTCAAAGTTATTTTATATAATTTAGTGAAGAATTAAAAACTTTATAAATTCTTTCTAAAAAATATTATACAAATCAGATTTATATTTTCATTTTATATTATTTTACATTAAATAATATTATATATAATAATTAAAATCAATATATAATTTAAATATTAAAATTAATTGCAAAATTAAATTATAAAAACCGGGATACTAATTTTATCCTAGTATCCACTATAAATTTGTACGCATAAAAATATGTATTTACTATTATAAAAAAGAAAAAAGATAAAAATTAATTAAAATATTTTTTTAGAACTTTTCTTTTAATCAATTGTAATAATAAATATAAAATGTCATTAAATGTTATAAATTTTATGAAAAATTCATAAATGTAACAATAACGTCCAGTATTACCAACTATCATTGAATGTTTATTAAATCTTATATTATACTATATAAGATAAAAATAAACAAGTTATCGTTGTATGATTTATCCCATCTTAATCAAAAATATTATAATGGATGTTGTTAAGTAAATAATATGAATGAAAAAGTATTTCTCAATTTTTGAGGTTAGATTCTAAATAAATAGGTAATGTCACTAATGTGCTTCATTCATGGTGTTCGTTTCCATACTGCATTTACTTGTCGCTCACATGTGTCGGTTGTGTGCTGAAAATATTTTCATCTATTTATTGTGAATATTTATTAATTTATTAGTAAAAATGAATATTTTGACAAACGAAGATAATCCCAATACATTAAAATTAGTAATCGCAGCTAAAATAGTTCAACAATCTGTTACCGTAAAAAAGGTAGAACCAAAAGGTAGAGTATTTCCGTTTCAAACAATTCATTTTCTGACTATATGATGAAATATCATATCTCAATTTCATTTATATTGCTTTTATAACTTTTAAATTCATTAATTTTTTTTAAATTTTATAAAGTAATTTTTTTTTTAAATAGTTTTAATTTTAATTAATAATTTAATAGATAATATATATTATATTATTTATATTTCAAATATTATTATCTATTAATTTTGATTGCAGCGATATGAAATTATAATTTTATTTAAGTAAAATTCTATATATTGAAGCATTGTTTATTTTTTGTTTAATAATCATATATTTAATAATCATTTATATAATACAACATCAAAAAATCATTCCTGTAGTTCATACATTTTTTTATGTAATTAATAATAGATTTGTAATATAAAATGTATTTTTTTATTTTATGTAGGAAGCTTTTTAGGCCGTTTACCTTCCATTGAACTATCATCCGGATTAGTATTATTTAGTACTAATGCAGCAATGCAGCTTATAATATCTCCATCCGAAGAGTCAAAAATTATTAATAACAAATGGTTAGAATGGGAAATATCTCAATTACAGGTTAAAATATAATTAATGTATTATGAACATTTATTTATATAATAATGACAGATTAATAAAACATTATTATATATTTTATAGTCAGCTATAATATTTTATGGTAATACAGGAATTTATAAAACTACACATAAATCATGTTTATGGTCTTTATTAGAAGAACTTAATAATGTATTGAAAGATAAAAAGTACTTAATTAAGGTAATTTATCATATTAATTAAAATTATATTAATTTATTATAAAATTATTAATTATATTTTTATTGTAATATTAAGGTATGATTAAAATCATTTTAGGATAATAACGATTTATCATTAGCAGATATATGTATTTGGGTGACTTTATGGTCTACTGTATTAGTTACAGAAATTGGAAATGAATTATGTAAAGAATATCAACATATTAATAATTGGATATCCAATATTGAATCACATCCAATTATTCAGGTTTTTTTCACTATTATATATGTTACAATCATATAATTGTAGATTTGTTTAAATTTAATTATTTTAGGATTCTATCAAAGAATATAAATTTGAAAGAGGTTTGAAAGCTATTTTCAGTATTCAAACTGTATCTTGGTTTCCTATTAATACTATACAAAATTTTCGATCTCCTAAATCAGCTGATGTAAGTTTATTAAAATATATTAGTATTATTATAATTTTTTAATATCTTATATAAATATTATTAGATTCAGCTTAGTCCAACTAAAGAAAAAGAAGTGGAAGCAGTTAGTCAAGAAGAAATGCATATTATTTCAAGTAATTGGTCGTCTATATCATATCCTGATATAAAGAATTTTCCTTATCCCGTGTAAGCTTGAGTATTTAGTACAATAACAAAATATTAGTAAACAAAATATTTTAAAAAGAGTAATAAGTGTGTAATTAACATAAATTTATATATTATTATATATTATTTTTAGATTACCAAAAAAAGATGAAAGAAATATTTTAATAACATCAGCACTACCTTATGTCAACAATGTTCCTCATTTAGGAAATATTATTGGTTGTGTTCTTTCTGCTGATATTTTTGCCAGGTTTATCTTATAATATTCAATAACATTCTAAGAATATTAAATATATATATATATATATATTTTAAAATAAATTTCTTGTTTATAGATATTGTAGACAAAGAAATTATAATACTCTTTTTATTAGGTATGTATTTTTTTCTTATATATGATATATTAATAACAACAATAGTAATAATAATATTATCGTTTTTTGAAATTCTAACTAACTCAAACGTAATAAAAATAATAATTTTTTTAGTGGTACTGATGAATATGGTACTGCTACAGAAGCTAAAGCTTTAGAAGAAAAAACTACGCCTCAGAGTATTTGTGACAAATTTTTTGATATACATAACGATGTTTATCGATGGTTTAACATAGGATTTGATTATTTTGGTCGAACTACTACACCTGAACAAACAGAGTAAGATACACCTTATATTAATAATTATTAAAGTTAATAATAAAATTTTTTAAGATTTTATATTATTTAAAATATGCATATTATTGCATATTGTTTAAATATTATTATAATAAATATAATTATTTTTTTCAGAATTGTTCAAAAATTTTTCTTAAGGATTAAATCACAAGGTTATATATTAAGTGAAACTGTAGATCAACTTCTTTGCGAAACTTGTGATAGATTTTTGGCAGATAGATTTGTAGAAGGAACTTGTCCAAGATGCAAATATGAAGATGCACGTGGTGACCAATGCGATGGATGTGGTCATTTAATAAACGCAACAGATTTAATATCTCCGCGATGTAAAGTATGTAGTAATAGGCCTATTGTTAAAAAATCGGAGCAATTCTTTCTAGATTTACCTAAAGTAAGTACTATTAATAATTAATATGTTATTTGTAAAATTATTTATTAGATATGCATTTTAATCAACAAATAATTTTTTATAGTTAGAAAATAAGTTAAAGGAATGGTCGTCAACCGTAGAAAAAGGATGGTCGGGTGTTGCAAGAGTAGTTGCAAAACCATGGTTACGTGATGGACTTAAACCACGATGTATAACGAGAGACTTAAAGTGGGGTATACCTGTTCCGGTAAAAGGTTTTGAAAATAAAGTATTTTATGTTTGGTTTGATGCACCTTTTGGTTATATCAGTATCACAAAAAGATATACAAAAGAATACGAGCAATGGTGGAAACCTAAAGATATAAAAGTTGATCTATATCAATTTATGGCAAAAGATAATGTTCCATTTCATGCAATCATGTTTCCTGCTTCCTTATTAGCAGCTAATGAAGATTATATATTATTGAAACATTTAATGGCAACAGGTATGATATATAATATACTAAATTAAAAACAAAACGATATATTTTTTTTGTATTTAAATCGTTAGTTATTAATTTAATTTAATTTTAGAATACCTTAATTATGAAGATACAAAGTTTTCTAAATCGAGAGGTATAGGAGTATTTGGAACTGATGCTAGAGATACAGGTATACCATCTGATGTATGGCGATTTTATCTAGCATATGTTAGACCCGAAACTCAAGATTCAAATTTTAATTGGGTAGATTTAGCAACTAAAAATAATAGTGAATTATTAAACAACTTTGGAAATTTTGTTAATAGGTATGTGTTTCTTTATGATAAAGAATATTGAATTTTAATTTTAGTTTTTTAATGAAATTTTTAACAAATAGGGCTTTGGTATTTGTGGAAAGATATTTTGAGTCTAAAATACCACCAATAGAACTTCAGGAAGATGATTTGATATTATTGGCATTGGCTCAACGAGAATTATCATCTTATATACATGCTATGGAACAAGCTAAATTACGTGATGGTTTGAAACACATTTTAGCAATTTCAAAACATGGAAATCAGTATATGCAGTTTCAAGAACCATGGGTGAAAATCAAAGGAACTGATAATGATAAGTAAGTGGCATGTTAGTTTTAAATATTTAATAACATTATGTAATTCGTGAATATAGGTCTTTATGTGTTTTCATATAAATATTTTATTTTTAAAACATTATTATAATATTTTTTTTATAAGGACTTGAGGTATTGCATGCCTTATATATTTTATTTTTGTTATTTTTATTTCATTGAGAAAATGAAAAAATTGATATTTTAATTATATTAGAGATTAGAAAATCTTTATTTCCTAGGTACCCTTGTTCAGTGTGGATTGCTGTTACATGAGTTAATTTTATGCTGTAAAATAAGTCCTATAAACTGATTGTGACTGTTAATCAACTTTCATGTATTAAATTATGTTACAGGTCTGTTAGTACTTATGAACACTCGCTTAATAGAATTAAGTGGCGTTATCGTTTTCAATTTAAATGTGACATAATTTTGTTTTTATTTTATTATGTGTAGAAAAAGAGCTGGAACAATCATCGGTATTAGCTGTAACGTGGCGTGTCTTTTATCGGCTCTTTTGGCTCCATTTATGCCCAGTATCGCTCGTGAATTAAGATCGCAATTAGGATTAACCACCAATAGTTATGGTTATATTCCTGATTTTATTACAAATATACTTCCAACGGCACACAAAATTGGTAAACCGTCTCCTCTATTTAAAAAAATAGAAGATAAAAATATAGAAACATTAAGAAAAAAGTATGCTGGTAAACAAGAAACTACAAATGAACATAGCGATGTAAAATCTTTGGACAATGCAATTGCAGAACTGGTTAGTGAATATTTTATATAATAATATAAAATATAAATATAATATAAAAATAAAATATAATATAAATATAAAAAATTAATATAATAGTTGTATAATATACATACATATACATACATATATATATATATATTTTTTATTTTTATTTTAAGGACACTAAAGTTAAAGAATTAAAAGCCAAACATGACAAAAACGGTTGGCAGTCCAGTCAAGTACAAATTTTCTCAGATTTAAAGAAAAAACTTTCTGATCTCATAAGTGAAAAAAATAAGTCTTTTGATTCGAAAAATAAAAAACCTGAAGTAGTTTTAGTACCTGAACAAAATGGAGATGTTTCAATGGATGTAGCGACTTTGGAATCAGCTATTGCTATGCAGGTAAATTATATACATTAATATATAAACATATATATTAATAGAATATAATATATATTAATGATATCATGAATTTTATAATTATTTTTATATATATTTTATAAAAACTATTGACTTCGTTTCTTAGGGTAATCTTGTGCGTACATTAAAAGCTAAAGAAGAAAAATCAGTGTGGCAACCTGAAGTGGAAAAATTATTAAAACTCAAAAAACAATTAGCAGATCTCACTGGAACAGCTCCTACTTCAAATGAGAAAAAGTCAAAAAAGAAAAATAAATAGATACTCAACCAATATGTATACATTTTACATATTAAAACCTCAAGGTTTAGTATAATAAAAAATTGTACATTTTTTATTACAACATATGCACTTCAGAATAATATCAACTACATAGTATTTTTTACATTCAAATAATGTAATTCATATAGTTTATTTAATAAATTTAAATTATAATTTATATAATTAATTTATAATATATATATAAAAAATGAAATTTTAACTTATAATATTTATCAAATTTTTCTTAAAAAAAAAAGAAAAATATAATTTATTCACTTTTACAAAAGAAATTTATTATTGGAAAATTAATTTTTTTTATTAGGGGTCTTTTTATATATAAGTTTTTTTATTTTTTTCATAGTTTTATTTTTCACTATTATATTTTTTTGATTATTTCTTTTTAATCGTTCAGATTGTTTTATTTGTTTTTGTTTTTTTCTAATTGTGCGAAAAATTATATTTTCTATGAAACAAATAACAATTGATAGAATGATGCCAAAACATAAAACAAGTATAATTGGTATTGTTTCATGAATCGTCACGCTTGATACATAATGTTTATCTTTATCGCAATAAGGCTTCCTATAAGTCCAACGTATCACTTCTCGCTTTCGAATCCCTGAAGTGGATATCCTAATAAGACTATAATTATATAAATATTAATCTAATTAAAGGAATATATACTACATATAAATTATTTTTATTAATTTATTTCTACGAAATTCTTACCCTATTTTTGTTATCTCTTGAAACTGACTATGTCGCGTTGACCACAAACCTAATGAAGAAGGATGAAGTAAATGAACTTCAGTAAGCTGACAGATCATTTGTTTATCAAAAACACGTTCTATAAATGGATAAATATTAATAGGATCTGTATGGTAAGCAAATTTAGCTGTCGTTATTTTTTTTAAACCATCTTGTATTGAAAGAAATCTTTTTTCTTCTGGTATTTTCTCCCAATATTTTTTAAAATATTGAATTTCTTCCACAGAAGACTAAAAAAATATTTTTCAATAATAAAAAATTAATATTTAATTTTATGTACGATTACAGAAACAAAATTATAAAAAAAACTTTTTTAGTTGCATGCAAAATTTGAACTCACATGCAATAGAATATTAAAATAAATATCTTTATATGCTGCAAGTTTCATTCGACTATTTATTAATGAATATAATGAATCATTCATTTTATCTAAAGGTGCATTCAATCGACTGGACACTATAGCTGCTGAATAATAATTATATACAATTAAACCAAAGATCATGGTTTGAAGAAAAGCAATACGACTTGAAACTTGATTATTAAAAAATGGTAAACCTGTAATATCAAAAATATTAAACGTAAATATAAAATATTAAATATAATGCTGTAGCAATATTTACTTTCAATATAAAAGATCATCAGATCTTTATCAAAATTTTATTATTACAAAAAACCATATAATTTAAATAATGTAGTATTAAATAACTATATTTGATAATTAATAATAAATAAATATTAATATTATGCAATTCATCATGAATTGTTTATTGATAAACCTTGTTGACATAATGCAGCAATAATAATAAAAATTGTTGATCCATAAGCAGAATCATTCTTTTCAAGTCTCAAAATAATCCATAAGCTGAGAATTATTGTGATTGTTAATAGTAAAATCATATACCAAACATTTTTTGCAAATGGTCTAAAGATTATATTCATATCCACTTTTAATGAAGGTACGGTAAGAAACATAAAGCATGTTCTGAAAAAAAAATTATTTTGTATTTTTTTTTTTTACTTTTGCATTATTATAATACAAAAGTTCAGATACTTATTAAAAATAATAAGAAACATAAAAAAAAATTGTGAAGAAATATATATATATATTCTACGTATGAATTTCGTAATTAACATTACAAATTTATCGTTTTTTTTTATCATTTATAACGTATTAAATTTATAATAAATGATTAGGAATTAGATATTTTAAAATAAATCACCTTACAGGCCAAACTTGCATAATTACATCTGCATAATTGAATCTTTCTTTTGTCAAAATTGATGGAAAATATCCCAAGTCAAAGATGCCATTTTTGAAACCAGCAATTAATGGTCCATTACTATCATTTTTTTCCCAATGATTTAATTCTATTATTTCAAAACTAGAAATATTTAATACTTTGGTATTAAATAATTATAATATTGAAAAATATGAAAACGTTGAAAAATTACGTGAAATTGAATAGTTGTTTAACATGTTTCATAATAGCATATCCAAATTTAGACCAATTATCTGTATGTTCGTATAAATTTTCTTCTTGAAGATAATCTATCAAACTTTGATTTTTAGGTCTATTTACTACCTATATAAGAGAATCATAAAAGTAGATGAATTTATTATATTATATTACTGTTTTCGATTTACATTTTTATATAAAATTTTTATTATATAGAATTAAAATTATATTTTAGCATAAAAGAAAATAATTCTGAAATTTTTAATTTTTACTACTATAATATATTTTTTAATACTATAATATATTGTTAGCGACAATAAATAGCGATAAACAAAGTATCTAAAACCAAAGTCATTGGTGCCATGGCCATTGATTGCAAATTGATTGTGAAACATTGAAAAAGAAGATTTTATTTTCAATTATTTACATGATTTACATGATTTCTGATTGAAAGAATAGAAAGATACGTGATCAACAGATTATTTAAACCATTACTGTCATATAAAATTGTAAAGTTATAAAGTATTTAAAACATTTGAATTTCATTTTGAAAAATGCAAATGACAGAATCAAGTTGTAATTGATTAATGACAATAATGAAATTGTAGAATTTTTTGTAAAAAAAGAAGATAGCTCTGGATGCAGAGTTTCACAGTTGAAAAATCCTCAGCGAATCAACTATTAGAGTTTTAATTGACAATTTGCAGAGCAGTGAAAACTATTAGATCAAGAAAGAAGAAGTAAGAGAAAAAAAGAAAGGCGAATTTGCTAATTATGTTAGCAATATCAAACAATTATAGATGAGAAGATCTCGAAATTCAAATGCTATCTTGTTTTCACAAGTAATTAAGAATAAGAATTAATTACTAATACAACAGAATTTAGCGATTAGACTGAAAATGTAAATAATTATGTAAATTAAACTTTTGTTAAATAATGTAAATAATATAATTTTTTTATGTCCGCATCTAATCGTTTTATTCTTACTAACATTTACTTCCGTTCTAATTCAACCTTTGTCCAGTATAGACAGTATTTGAAAATGTTTGTCACAAGTTCTTTATCATCGCTATTTGACATGTTTTTATTTTACTCTCTTTTGATCTTTTTATCGATTATATGAATTGATTTCGCTTTTAAAACACCAAAAACTTTTTCAAATTAGGTAATATTTCAAAATTATTAATAATAAAAAGAAAGAATTGACCTCTCTATTAGCTATCTAGATGTTTACTTTGGCCAACAATGGAATCAGGCTTCGATAAGTTTATTTTAGAGATTGAAATCGATCAAGATGATGTCTAGGAGTTCTGAAAACTCGGAAAAAAATTCAAGAAAGAGTATCAATTTTCAATATTTCAGCTATATATGAGTAATCATGAATTTATTAAATACTTTGCCTGTTACCATTTGTGATGTGATATTATTATTAAAATGCTAAATAGAGTAAATTTGATAATCACATTCATAAATTTTGTAAATTTTTTTATTACTTTTTCAATTTTCACTTTTTTATTTTGCATATAATAATTATTTGAATATACTTACAAGCCCAGCAACTTTTATTTTCATGCTGTGATAATTCCATCTTCTGGAGAATTTATTTGTCTGTAAAATAATTTGTAATCCATCGTTTTTAGTCCAGGTGCCAAGTTTCGTAATATTTAACAAACCACCGTAATTTTTGCAATGATTGTATACGTCATACAGAATATAATCATTGTCTTTTGATATAGCAATTGTAACATCCGTAATGATACTAAACATATTGTCATTTAATAATCGAAGTATGTGATTCATATTTTTCTCCAAAATCAGCCATTGATGTAAATGATCGAACATGTAATAGGTTGAAGTCTAAATTATCATTTTTGTTATCAATTTAATTGTGTTATCAATTGTTTAATCAATTTTTAAATTGAAAAATAATTGTTTAAAGAATATAATATAATTTTTAATATGATTATACCTCGTAAAAAAGTTTCACTATATCCTCGTCTGAAACTAAACATTCTAGATCCACAAATATACCTAAATTCCAATAAGTAGTATGCAAAAATTGTGGTATATTGATCATCGATGTAAATTGAGTAATGGACACTCCAATCCCTGCTTCATTTAGAAGTTTAAGAATTTGATAATCATCTATATCGAAATAAAGCATATCATAAACTATATTATAATCGATTTCTAATTAAAAAATAGTATAATTTAAAAAATTTTTGTCTATGAAATTTTCTTGGAATAAAAAAATTTTACTATTTTAATTCATATAATATTAATAAAGTAAATATATTTATTGAGAATATAATAATGTTTAAAAAGTAATACGTTTAAAATATGTTTTATCTAATATTAATTTAATTAAATGTTATGTATATTTTTAATTATTATTATTTTCAAAAAGGAAATCTATTTCATAGAGAAAAAAATAGCTCACTTTCAATGTTTCCACAAGAAAATCCAGCCACTCTAGAAACATTTTTGAAAATGAAATAATCGCGAATGATATCTACATTGCTCGCGTACGATGCAACAATTAATTGCAAATAAAAGATATTTTGAACATACAACATCTCACTGTTATCGTTACTCGCGATTGTACTATCGAATGACTGAATACAGCGTTCATATTACAATTCAACATACAACAGTTATCCCTTCTTTCATTTTACATGAGAGAACGTGACAGCTTTGACATGATGGCTCTTTAAAAAAAGAAACAATTTATGATTCTGAACCGATTTAGAGAGCACGATAATCCGATAACGTTTAATGATAATTAACTAAGTAATTAAATAATAATTAAAAATCTAAGAAGTATTGATTTTGCAAATAAACGTATATATTATGTAGCTAGATCTTTTATTACATTTAATAACTATGTGTGTAAGACAAAATATAATTATTATGAAATATGTTACATTCAATTTAAGTTAAATGAAATTACTTATTAATTAGATCAATTTATGAAGATTATGGAATAATATCCAATAAGTTATTTCTACCATTATCATTGCCAAAGCTTTCCTTTGTTTCACTCTTCCTTCTTCGATTTATTTCCCTTATAAAATAATAAATAAAATATAAGTAAATTTTCATTTTCATGCTTTCGATTATACACGAGCAGAACTTACTTCATGGAACGATTGTAAATAATATTTTCCACAATGCAAATGATACCAGCTACGAGGATTCCAAATGCTAATAAAATTAATGCTGGGGCAATTTCGTAGATTGTGATGCTTCTTGTGGATAAAGTATCAAGTTGACATTCCGGTTTCCTGGACGACCAATATTTGATTTGTCGATTTCGAAGACCGGTATTAAACATCTTTGTCAATCTTTAAGAAATAAGTAAGTTTTGCGATGTTAAATAAATACGATAATTAAATGAAAAAAAATATATTCAAAGATTATTCACCCTATTTTCGCTATTTCAATGAACTGGCCATTATGACTGGCATACATCCCCATTACCGATTGTTTAAACAAATGAATTTCCGTCAATTCACAGATTTTATTGGAATCGAACATTCTTTCAACGTAAGGATACGCTGTATTTGGATCCGTGTGATACGCTAAAATACCTGACCCACTTGTCTAATACCTTCCTCTATTGGTAAGTATCTTTTCGATTCTGGCAAAGGATCCCAACGTTTTTTGCGAAAGTAATCCGATTCCCAGTTCAAATTCTGTTAATAACAATATTATCGATTTTATTTTCTTTCTTATTTCGATTCTCTTTTTATACAATTTTATTTTTTATTTAAGTATTAATCTTTTGCTCGCAAAATTTTAAGAAAAGAAAACTCGTCGATTGAGTTGTCATATCGAAATTTACATTTTTTTACATTTTTTTTTTATTCAAATTATTATGGTAATCAAAAATGATAAATTTGAATAATACCTACGTATAAGAAATAGTTTAAATATGGTACAGCTTCCGCCGCGATTTTTAGATTGCTATCAGCAAGAACAGTTACAGAATCTTCCATCATGTCGAGAGGCTCACTTAATCGAGCCGATACAATACTGGCAGAGTAATAATTGTACATTATCCAACTGTGTACAGTTATTTGAAATAGAGCTATACGGCTTGGCAATCGTTTTGGTAAAAAATTCGCACCTATCAAAAGTCAAAAACAGTATTAGTGATTTGATCTTTTTTGAAAGATGTTTTTATTAATAAAATTGCTTTTTTACCTTGTTGAGACAGAATTCCGACCGACAATATAATTGCATCGGAATATTTTTCTCTTTTGCCGACATCTTCACGATTCATTATTACTTTCATAATGAATATGAAAAATATTCCAAAAGCAGCAAATACGTACCATGTTTGACGTGTAAAAGGTTTCAAAAAAATTTCTAATTTAATCTTATTGGTTGAGGTCGATAATAACATGAAACAGGGCCTAGGATCAAATCATCAATTTTTTGGGAATTTTATAAATTTTAAATAAGCTAGATGTATTTTTCATATTTGATGAAACAAATAAAATAGAATAAAATATAGTTGGTCGTTTTTTGTCTTTTTCATTATTTCAATGAAATATCAATCTAATGAAAGATGAAGCTATGTCAAATTAATTCTAGTATTTCTAGTTATTTTTTAAATTATAACTATATAATAACATTCTTATCTACTATAACTATATAAATGATTGTTTTAATTTTTATACAAAAGAGAGCTATCAAAAAATTTGTGCCTAGTCCATAATTGTTACATGTAAATACGGTTTTGTGAAGAATAAAAATTGAAAATAATAATGATACTATCATGTTGTTAAGAAATTCAATATAGTTTACAATGATAAAGTAGAAGATACATAAAAATGAATTATATTACTTTCAATTAGTTGTGTGCAAAATTATTTAATAAAATCTTTAAAATTTCTCCTTACATTTTTAACGCGAATTAAATGCACAAAAACATAAATAACATAAAGCTTCTTTTTTATTATTTAATTTTTAATTTAAATATATAAAGAATAGAAAATAAAAAATAAAACATTTTTTTAAATGCATTAACTTCGTATTGAATTATATTAAAAGATTGCAATTGACAAAATTTTTCACAAAAATCATAATATTTCTTAATAATATTATAATACAGCTCTTTTTTTACAGATCTAGATAGATCCCTTATTTTTAATTTTGTCATTATCATTAAAATCTTTTGGAATTATAAATATTAAAAAAAAAAAAAAAGAATTGAAAAATTTTTAATAAATAATGTATAATATTAAAAATTTGTTGTAATTATTCTTATATTCAATATATCCAATTAATGATTCATTATATATTAAAATTAAACAAATCAAATATATAATTTATTAGATAATTACGTTAAATGATTATATATCATCAATTTGCTTACTTAATTGGCCATGCTGCACCGATGAGACTAGCATAATCTAATCGTTCAGACACCATTATTCTCGGATTACTGGCAAAATCGATATAATTCGATTGTAAAAATTCGAAAATCAAACCGTGTACACTGTGTCGATCCCAGTAAATTATTTCTGAAGCGTGAACACTAAAAGAAAATAGAACTTACTTATCATGATAGAAAATGATTAATATAATATAATACCTGAAATTAAAAAGTTCTCCTATATGTAAAATCATGGCATGCACAAACTTATGCATACTATCTAAGGATCTCGTATTTATATCCTGCATATAATCTTCGAGTCGCATGTCTTTTGGCCTATATTGAATCTAAAAGTAAAAATCAATTATTTTTATCAATTTTAGTTCAAATTGGTTTATATTAATTAATAATCATTAAAGTTTCATTCTCGGTATATTTGTGAATAATATTTTGATATATATATATATGCATATGTCATTAAATTTAAATTTTAATAAAAAGAATAATATCTCAACTAAACAATAATAAATTAAAAATATAATAGCAATAGAAGGAAATCCAATATTGTATAAAATAAGATTTTATAAGCAAACTGACCACTCCAGATATTTTTAATCTCATTCCATGCATATTAGCCCTTCTGTTAATTAATGGTTGCGTCAAAAATATCTTTAATCCAGAATCAAGATGCCAAGTACCAAGTTCAGTAACGTTTAACATACCACCACGATATTTGCAATGATTAAAGACATCATACAAATCGAAGCCATGTTTGTTCGATATAGCGAGAGCAACATCTGTTATTATATTGTAAGCAGTATCGTTCAAAAGTGAAATACTGTGATTATAATTCGAATCCAGTATTAGCCAATTGTATGAATAATCATACATTCGATATTTTGAACTCTAAATTTTAATAAATATATTATAAATATATCAATATTATTGTATATTGCATCATTGATCTTTTTAATCACGAAGAAAAATTTCTCTTACTTCTGTGAAAATTCGTACAGCAGTTTCATTATGGCATCGCAAATCGATTACGACGCCTACTGTCCAAGTTTCACTTCTCATAAATCTTCGGAAGTCAATCTTCACACTGGACTCTCTTATTATCGTAAATATACCCGTGGTGCTTAGCGTTTTCAGAAGATTAAAATCACCTAATACAATTGTTGCATAAATTTTCATAAATAATATCTTTGTTGGAATAAGAATTTTTTAAAGAGTTTTTATATTTATTTCCTTTTTTTTTTTCTCTTAAATTTTTAAATGAAATTCTAATTCTAAAAAATTTTAGTATTAAGCAATTCTATAAAAAACTAAGTATTTATTTTTTTAAAATTATTAATCTATACTTTCTTAACATTTTTACAATTACTTTAAATCTAAGATCATTTATGTTTGATACAATAGCTAAAAAACCTTTGAAAAATTATAATATCTTTGAATATTTTAAATTGAGATTAGGATACAAAATTTAAGCAATAATTTGTTTGAATTATTATTAGAAATAAAATAAATATATATAAATATATATTTTATATTATATATAAAAAAACCAATATTTTTAAAAATTGATTTAAAGAATATATATATATATATATATATATATTGCCTAATAGTTATAAAATAAGATTTTATAAGCAAACTGACCACTCCAGATATTTTTAATCTCATTCCATGCATATTAGCCCTTCTGTTAATTAATGGTTGCGTCAAAAATATCTTTAATCCAGAATCAAGATGCCAAGTACCAAGTTCAGTAACGTTTAACATACCACCACGATATTTGCAATGATTAAAGACATCATACAAATCGAAGCCATGTTTGTTCGATATAGCGAGAGCAACATCTGTTATTATATTGTAAGCAGTATCGTTCAAAAGTGAAATACTGTGATTATAATTCGAATCCAGTATTAGCCAATTGTATGAATAATCATACATTCGATATTTTGAACTCTAAATTTTAATAAATATATTATAAATATATCAATATTATTGTATATTGCATCATTGATCTTTTTAATCACGAAGAAAAATTTCTCTTACTTCTGTGAAAATTCGTACAGCAGTTTCATTATGGCATCGCAAATCGATTACGACGCCTACTGTCCAAGTTTCACTTCTCATAAATCTTCGGAAGTCAATCTTCACACTGGACTCTCTTATTATCGTAAATATACCCGTGGTGCTTAGCGTTTTCAGAAGATTAAAATCACCTAATACAATTGTTGCATAAATTTTCATAAATAATATCTTTGTTGGAATAAGAATTTTTTAAAGAGTTTTTATATTTATTTCCTTTTTTTTTTTCTCTTAAATTTTTAAATGAAATTCTAATTCTAAAAAATTTTAGTATTAAGCAATTCTATAAAAAACTAAGTATTTATTTTTTAAAATTATTAATCTATACTTTCTTAACATTTTTACAATTACTTTAAATCTAAGATCATTTATGTTTGATACAATAGCTAAAAAACCTTTGAAAAATTATAATATCTTTGAATATTTTAAATTGAGATTAGGATACAAAATTTAAGCAATAATTTGTTTGAATTATTATTAGAAATAAAATAATATATATAATATATATTTATATTATATAATAAAAACCAATTAATTTTTTAAAAATTAGTAATTAAAGAATATATATATATATATATATATATATTGCCTAATAGTTCAATTAGATATAATAATAATAATACTTTAGAAATTACGTACCTATTGTATCACCACAAGAAAATCCCACAACATTTCGTACTTTTTTATACAAAAAATAATCACGAATGAATATATGATCTTGTGCATTAGAGATTAAAAGAAATTGCAATAAAATAAAGAAAATAATACCATGCATTGTACTATCCCTTTTTTAAAACTTGTTCCCTAATATTCATATACTTATCAAATTGAGTATCGTTAAATACTATGTATCTTTCTATTATATTATTTTATTACAGTTTATGCATCGAATGCACGACGTATCATTTTGAATTCTGATATGAAAGACAAGTCAAATAATTTCGAGCCATTTGTCAAATAGTTCGTGTCACGAAAAGTATTTGCAGAACATGATTAATCGATTATTCATTCGAGCGTCTTGTTTCCAGCACGACAGTTTCAATATCCAATAAACTAACGTCTCATGATCGATCGCATAATATTCTTATATTATTATTATTCATCTTTGCTCTGTGATGTTTTATTAATTTCGACTCGAATACTGTTTAAAAATTTTATGCAAGTTAAAGGAATAAAAATCTAAGGATTTAAAAATTAATTGTATAATTGAAAATAAACAGGCTGACAATTATTGCTTACTAAATCAATAGTCAATGTATAATAATTAATTTAATCAAGATTCTGTCATATTTATTTCTGATGAAATGACAACTAAATAACTAAATTTCATTATTAAATTATTATTTTTAAATTTCACTGTATTATAAATTGTACATATAAAATATGGATAATGTTTAAAATAATTATAAGTAATTAAAATTTACAAATTTCATTTGCATATCATATTAAATCTTTTATCTCTATTGTTTTTTTAATTCTTCTTTTTCCATTTTTAGATCAAAAGTTGGATTCCATTGAGATTAAAATAAAGTGATTTTAATTAATAAAATCTATTATTACCTTTTCGAATTGAATGACTATAGAAATATAATCATATAACTTACAAAAATTTGACAATTTGAGTCAATAGATTATGTCAATAGATTTATATATAATATGTATAAAGTTAATAATATATATATTATGATTTATCATTAACAACTTTTTGATTATTGAAATGCATGTTTCCAACGATTCTATTTTAATATACTTTATATATAATTTTAGATTTAATTCTTATCTTTGATATATTATCAAAGATATGTATGAATTTATGTGCAATTTATGTTCTAAATATATTAACGTTAATTATGTAAAATAATTTTATTAGAATTATATAAACATAAATGACATTTCTTTTAAATTGTTATATAGATATAAATTAAAATAATATGAAAATTCAAAATTGAATTAATTAATAATTAAGTGCTTCTATGATTATTCGAGTGACAAATTAGTTGATTAATAATTATATCGTAAGAATTTTAAGAATTTTGAAAATGGCTCCATTCGCTAAAAAAATTGAAGTTTCTCAGAGCTTGTAGATTTATTCCTCGTGAAGAAGGAAGGTTTGAATTCCTGTCGATCAATTGGTTTTTTTCCATTATGAAACTAGGAACTCTAAAAAAATAAATAAATAAAACATTTTATATCAATAACATATTTCAATAATATATTATAACGATTTCTTTAAAATAAATTTCGAATTCACCGTGTCGAAAAAAGACAGAAGATCATATTTTCAATAATGCAAATGAGAATCGATAGAACAATAGAGATGCACAAAAACATAAAAATCGGCGCAGCTTCATGAATCGATAGAGGTTCAGCAATAAGTAGGTTATTCGGACAGAAAGGTTTTCTAGCCGTCCATCGTATCAATTCACGTTTCTGGATACCCACATTATGAATTTTAGTTAAACTAAAAAGACAATTTTATTTTAAATTTTATTTTTAAATTATTCTCTAACCGATGATTTCAAATATTATAATTTAATTTTTTACTAATTAGTAAATCGATATATTTCGAAAAACAGAATTATCAATTTGTCCAAACAAGTATAATATTTCTCAATTTTTTAATAAGTTAATATATTTGATACAAAAAATTAGCCATATTTTTGAATTTCTCATAAAAACTATGCAAAATCCAATTTAAAACGATTTCGAAATATTGTTAAAAATTTGTTTAATATTATATTCCTTTAATATATAATATCAATTAATATCAATTCATTTCAATTCGAGATATATCCATATATGCATAAATATATTACAATAAAAAAATAAGTTATATTCAATTAAGAATATACAGCATTCATACCCTACTTTCATAAGTTCAGTAAAAGGACTGTGATGCCTTGCATAAAATGCGAGAACAGCACGGAACAAATGAACTTCTGTAAGTTCACAAATACTTCGATGATTGAACGTGTGTTCGATGTATGGATAAGCAGAATCGGTCATCGTGTGATAAGCTAAACGACCCTCCGCCACACGATTAAGTCCCTCTTCCAGGGGCAAGTATTTATACGACTCTGGTATTTTCGTCCAACAATTGTCATAAAAGTATTTCACTTCTTTGTCTGATACCTATTGTAAAAATATTTAATTTTTAAATAGATGTATTTGAAAGAACAAAAATATTGTTTAATCTGTTATGGAATGGTCATGTATTTAAAATTAAGACATTCTTTGTGATAAAAATCATTATAAAATATTAATTGTAGTTGTAAGTTTTATTCCATTAGTAAAAATTCTTTTTTATTAATTTTTGATTAAAAAAAAATTAAAAATATCATATGCATTCATATTGCATATCGTTCATTTTACTGTTATATTTATAGAAATTTTTATATTTTCGTTTTTTAAAAAAAAATTGTTTTAGTAAAAATGTATAATTTTCTTTTTTTTTATGAAAAAAATGTTACCTGAAGAAAGGAACGAATGTACGGCGTAGGTTCTACTGCAAGCTTCAAATTACTTTTTGCCAAACTGATTAAAGAGTCGTTCATCTTCTCCTCCTTATTTTTCAAACGACTTGATACCACACTTGCAGAGTAATAATTCAAAATTAACAAACTAAAAAATAAAACTTGTAGAAGTGCGATCCGACTTGCGCAACGAGTTGGAATAAATGCAGAGCCTATGAAAGAATTTCGTTTCAAAAAATTCAATAATTTTCCTTAATTGATTTTTTTCAAACATATTATGAGTTTTTATTTTAATCTTATACCTTGTTGTGACAATGCTCCTATTGTGAGTAAAACAGAGAGACCGTAAATCTCTGTGGGGGTACGAATATTTTCTAATTTTAAAAAGATAATTAAAATTGTAGTTACGACTCCTATCATGGCAAGTATCACATACCACACTTTCACGGATAAAGGTTTCAGAAATTGATCTGGTTTAATTTTTGTCGAAGAAATCGTACGAAACAAGAAACACGATCTATAACAATATTAATAAATTGAATTTTTTAAACCAATATATGATGAAAATTTTTATATTATATAATTAAACTATGAAACAGGAAATTTTAAATATGAATAAATTATGCATTTAATTGTATAAAAATATATATTAAACATCTGTTACTAAAAATTAAAAAAAATAAAAATAATTAAGCATAAAAAAAACACAAGAAATTTGAAGATCTAATATTTTTCTATTTTTTATATTATAATTTTATAAATTAGAAATATCAAAATTAAAAAATAAATTATAATTATAATTAAAATTATAATTAAAAAATTATAAATAATATATATTATAAATAACTTTTTATCAAAATATTATATGTTCTTAAAAACATATAAATAATAATGCTATAATACTATAAATAAACATAAATGCGAAAGATGTGAAGTGAAAAAGCGAGACAGTAGTATATACCGTATTGGCCAGACTGGTCTAATTATATCACCGTTATGTAGTCTGTCAACTTTCATCGCGACTGGACTTGCTGAAAAATCTATCAGCTTTTTTTTAAAAGCTGCGAAAACAGGGCCAGAATTATCGAATCTTCTTTGAGCATTTATTTGTACAATTTCCATACTGTGGAACCAATAAATAATAAACAAATTTCCAAAGGTAAATATATATATAAAGGATAATATATAGAATATATTAATATTATAAATAAATAATAACTATTTTTATATTTATTTATAATATAATTAGAAAGAAGAAACTAGTTAACTTAGATAAAAAAAATTTTTAAATTTATTATTATATTTAACTATATTAATAATTAATATAAAAAATGAATTGAATTAAAATTCAAAATTATTGATATTATTTGTAACTTCTACTTTAGAAAAAACATTTTATAATTGAAAATAATAAAAATTATTATATTTAATGATTGTTTTTAAGATAAAACGTGTAATTATAAAAATAAAACATTCTTATGTTTAATGTTTACAAATTTATTAATTTTTACGTGAAATTAAAGATGTCAGACATATGCTGCAGTAATATATATAAAAATTTCGATCGACCATATTTCGATTTCATGTTATATTGTAACATCATATCGTGAAGTGACATATTTTCTGGTTTAAAATTAACCTGTAAGTTTTATAATTATTTTATGACTTGTACATTATTTTAATATATATTTTTGGTTTGAAATTATGTTATTACTTAAATTAACTATTCAAAATTTTAATTTTATCAATAACCATTATAATAACTATGAGACTTTAAGATGACTTACTACAATTCCAACTTTAAGTTTCATTCCATGCAAATTTGATCTTCTCGCGAATTTCGATTGATTTAAATTAACATTTAATCCTGTTTCAAAATTCCACATTCCAAAATATGTTACATTCATTGATCCTCCTCGATCTTTACAAGGATTGTACACATCGTATAAAATATAATTATCTGCTGATGGCACAGCAATTATAACGTCAGTAGAGACAGTAAACGTTTCATCGTTTAATATTTCTAATACATGGCTTAAATTTGAACCCAAGATTAACCATTTATGCATTTCATCGTACATAGAATATTTAGTTGCCTACATAAGTATAATAATAATAATAATATAATATAATAATCTAGACATTTATATCTAACAATTGAGAAATTTAAATCAAAATTATTATGATGATATTTTTCTTATTTAAAAATTATGAAATTTTTGAATTTTTATTAAATAATTACAATAGATTAAACTATTTTTAATTTTAATAATTCTTGAATAGTTTGAATAATTTTTTATTTATTCTAATAATGAAAATTATATTTAGAAAAAGAAATATATCGAATACATAATTTGAGGATAAATATAATATAAATGAAAAATATGAACAAATATGACAATATTGAAACATCATAACATTGTTACATACATCAATGTTATGATGTTTCAATATTTCAAAAGATAAATTACTTACATCTATTAGGATTCTTCTGTATCGACTATGATCGCATCGAGAATCCAAAAAAATACCTAATCGATGGTATTCTGCTCTTAGAATTTTCTTAACATCTAATCGCAATTCAACCGTAGAATTCAACATTGAAATATACGTAGTATACATATTGTTGAACGTTTTTGCAAGTTTAAAGTTATCTGATTTTTATGGAATAAAAATAAGATTTTATACGTTCGAATTAAAAAAATATTTTTTACAAAATGTTCGCTACGCACTTTCTAGATTGTCACAAGAGAACCCGACGATCCGTTCCACTTTTCTGAATGTAAAATAATCACGGATAACGTTATTTTCATTAACGCATAAAATAACTATTAATTGCGCTATTAAAAGCAACAAGAAATACGCTCGATTCATTGTACAGAATTATCTCGTGTAGGAACGTTCTCAATACAATATTGAAATCGGTCTTGCGCTGATATTCTCTATTGAATATTCCATTATCTCGTTAATATTGTATTTCTATATTTATTAATCTCAACTACCTTGAATTATTAATATACCAGCCGTTTACATTTCTTCATAAACGTCCACGTTTATGATCCATCATTTTTTTCTGGATAACATAATAATATTCGATATGATGAAACAAAGTACACAAATTTCAAAATAATCAATGTAACATTTATTTTCGTTTCATTTTGCAAAAGTACGCGAACGAGAGAAAGTATCGCTAGAACGTGCCGTTTTAATTAATATAATTTGTACTTTTCATGCACGATATGAAACGATAACGCTTCACCGGCTTCGATCTCGTTCGTCCGATTTATTAAAAAAAAAAAAAAAAAAAAAAAAAACAAAATAAAACAATAAAATTCAAATAACACCGCGCACGCTGCATAAATAAAGTACTTGTAAATGACTAGTAGAGATTATTTTGATGTCGCAAATACACGATCATTTACCACAGAGAGGTTGCAAATTTAGTATCCATTGTCATTTATTTTATTGCGAAAGGGGGCGCTTCGTTTGTAGTTAAATAAAATTTTCCACGTAACCTGAAGTGATTAAAATAATACATAATTGCATTTGAATAATATGATATATAAAATGCAAAATTAAATATTTAGATAATATCTTACGATGTGGATGCGTATTCTCCCATTAAAACTATTGGATTGTAATCGCAATGTCCCTCTTTGTACTTTTCCCAACTTTCACAGGTTCTTGCCTTGAAACCAGATGTGCTGCCTATACTCTCTGTCATGAACTGATGAGCTCGCGAATGGCTGCAGTAAGCTGACAAACGTTCGATATTGTTACTTGAAAATCGATTATGTTTATACTTTTATTGAACATTGAATAAAAAAAGTAAAATTTTTACTTCTCGTCGGTAAAAACGAACATCCAGGTTGCGGAAATTTTCCGTTGTTAGGATAAAAATCAGCATGACCAAGTGGAGCCAAAAATCCAAATGCAGGTCCGCTCGTATGAATTACATCTACGAATTGCGCATCAGTTGGATCTAATCTGAACTCTGGATCAACGATCCCGGAAAATGTCTCGAATAATGGACTAGCTGGATCTAAACCTTTGAATTGTATCATAATATTAATAACAATAAATCTATAAATTAAACATCTTACTAAATATAATCCAAGGATAATCTGTAAATCACGAAATATTTTTTAATATTTTTCATCATAACTATCATTCTTTGACAAATTTTAATACATTAGATTAGCAATTTAAAAGGATATTAGAATGATAATTAACTTAAAAATAGTCAGTTATTCCGCAAAGAAAATAGTTTAATTTTTTAAAATTTTCTTTACATCGGGAAAATAGTCACAAGTTGTTTAAATATTACAAAAGCAGATTATAAATTAAAAAAAAAATTGAAATGCTATAATGGAAACATACCTGTTATTCTGCCAATACGCCCATCCAGATAAGCTCCAGCAAATCCTGCAACATGTGATCCCAAACTGTGACCACTAATGTGAACATCCTTGTATTCAAGATTCGATTCGCGATTTAAAAATTCCAGGAAATCTCCGAGAAATTCACCCACTCGTCGCGTATTGTTCGCTGCCATCGGATAAACATCAGCTGCCAAAGCACCCCATCCGACGACTATCACGTTTACATCTTCATGAAGTAGATAAGCTGAAATTGTATATAATCATTTTTAAATTCGTTTGTATGTATTTGATACCAAAAAAAAAAAGAAAGATTTAAAATATACAAGATTTATATATATATAAAATCTTAAAAGTTTTATATTAGTTATTTAATCTATAATTATAATCTATTGTTATTAGTTTGATTATGAAACTAATTCAATATTCAAATCTAATATTTAATATAGGAAAAGTTCTAAAGTTAAATATAAAGAAAAATATGTAATTACATATTAATTTATTCATAGGACACGTTTGAAGAATTAATTTTAGAATCCAAAATAAATACAGAAATTGATATATAAAAATATTCATTGAGACTTATTCATTAAATTATAAATAAATTTAAATTTGCTTTAGATAACACAGGTCGCAGATAGAGTAAAGCCACTTTCTCCATTATATTATACTATAGTCGTATCTTCGCCTTGCTTCATCTAATATGTCTTACGAATATGTATTAACACCTTATATAATATAAATAATATAACTATAAATTAAATAATAATAGAAATATAAATTCAAATAAAAAATCTATATTAATGGAGATACATACATTTATTTTATTTTTAGCATTATATTTTTATAATCTTTAGAACTATGAACTATATTTTGTAAGAAGTTTATAGAACTTGGAATGCTACTGATATACAATAGAATAAAAGATAAAATAATGGAATTAAAATTTTTGAATGATAGTATTTAAATGCATAGTATGGTATATTGAAAAAAAACAATTGATTTACCAATAGACAAGAAAAATGATGTACATCCAAGTTCTAATTTAAGATTTCCCATAGTTACGTCAGGAATTTAGTCGCAACACAGCAAAACTTGTTAAGTGATCAATTAACTTGTTATCGTAATGACCCTTGAACCTGGCGACGTCGATTCCGTGTTTACCGAAACGGATTGACCCTGATTGTAATTAAATTTCATTGAAACGATGTCGACGCCATCGACATTTCTAGAAATTCCTTGAAAATCGTTTTTCCTTTTTCTTGTTTCATTCATTACTATACATGTAGCATTTTGTTCTCTTCATTTGTTCATTCTCTTCCTCGATTATTATTCTAATTAATTTTTCTTTAATCGTCGAAATAAACAAGACTCATTTTTACGTACCATCTATCAAACCTCGTACCCAAGCTTCGTTTCCGGTGTCGCTAAATCCATGAATAATGAACTTCGTTGGACGACTTTCGTTGAAGTGAGATGCATAAAGAACCTCGGTGTTATTTAGAAACAATTGTTCTTCACCAAATGGATTTTCTCTTTAATAAAAAAAAATGCTATGTTTTTAAAAATGTTTTTAATTATTCGAATTATTTAGAAATTTTTACTTTATACAAATTTGAAATCATAATGATATAAAATATTTCCAAGTTAACATTTTATTAACTTGTTATAATTTTTTAATTGTATAATACATATTGCATACATTCATTGATATTAAATCCTTTTCGAATTTTTTTTATAATTTTTTGTAGAATTTTTTCTATAAAGAAATTTTTACAATTCTTAACACTGACAATCTTTTTTTATTAATTATAATTTCAAATTCAAAATTTATTAAAATATCTTTTTATTTATAATTCTTAATTTGAGCAAAACTATTTTATTTTGCTGTTAATAATTTGATTAACGTTCGTATCACGAAAATATCAAGGATCAGAGTGACGAATACTCAAAATATGCCTCGAGTGGCGCCTCAATTTTCCCCTCTTTCCGATCATGTCGATCAACAGCAAAAAGCAAAATCGTGCAAAAAGAAAAAGAAAAGGAGGCGCGTCCGCGATATTCACGCATCGATGATAGTTAGTGGAGCGTCAGCGCTGAGAATAGAATTCGCCGACATGATGATTGCACGTATCATTAAAAAAATTGATGCATCGTTTATGAACAGCAAATGATAAGACTTGCCTCTGCATGGGCGAAAAATTCGCAGCGCGTTGCCAAGGAGAAACATGAATTTCTTAAACATTTCAAATTTGTCTTTTCTTTTTATCTAATTTTTTCTTTTACAAATCTTTAAAAAATCACAAATAACATAATAATATCAAACTAATAATAATAATAATTTTTTATTTAAAAAATAGATTAGAGAATAAGATAAAAATTAAATTAATAAAAGTGTTTGTTAAGTAAGATATTTTTAATGAAAATAAGATTTTCAAGCAATATTACATAAAATTTCTTAAACTTTTTTCTTTTTTTTAATTTGCATTTTTAATTTTGATCTAAAAAATAATTTAGGAAACAAAATAATATAAATAAATAAAAGATACCTATTAAATAGAATATTTGATGAAAACAAAATTGACCTTCAAACAATGTTATATAAAGTTTTTTTTTTTTTAAATAGATATCAATATCAAACATTATTTTTCACGATATATTCTATTTTAAGAACACAATTTCCTTAATTTTTATCGCAAGTTTAATCTTCTCCTAGATTATAAAACAAAAAACATTTTGAGCTGTATATACCTGGTGTACAAATTGAACGTAGCCGGTTCACGGGCAAGCCTAAATACAGATTTGATGACTGTTTCCACATCGTTCAGCAGCGTGTTCTGCGGATACGCGTACGCTAAAACCACGAGGAAATAATATTGATAAAATAAAGAATTGTTTAAAATTGTTCAAATAGATACACAATCACCTTAACCTTAAAAAATTATTAATTTTCTTGAGGTTCTTTTTATCATAAAACTTCAATAAAATCACAATACTCGAGATTCGTAAGAACAACATTCAGGTCACTTTTAGTTGATTGTGGAACGTTGCGAAAAGATCCACGTGACTTCCTTTACCTGAGAGAACGACCGCCAGAAGGACGAGTGTTTCAACCGGTGACATGTCTCTCCGCGCGATACCGCTCGCAGTTGCACTGGATTACTACTGTAGCCGGCTTAGCAGCGGACTACCATTCATCCTACACACGATTTCTCGTCTTTGATGTTCGATAAGCCCGGCAGCTACGTTCATTTGTTTAATTAATACGACAGCTGCTCGAACATGGATAGTTTCGTGAGTGATTGCCCCTCCTCTTACAAACAGCCTTCATTCCGAACTCTTAATTTCGTAATTCTTATTACGACTTCGTCACGCGAGAAATACTTTTTGCACGCTTTTGTAAAAAAAAATGTATCGATTATCGCTTAAACAGTATACAAGTGTAGGCGTGTTTGTATATGAATGTATCACTAATAAAATATTGCTAGTGTTATTTAAAATTGAAAAAAGAAAAAAATGTTGATTTCCTCTTTGAAAAACTTAATATGATAAA